TTGTATGGTGTTGGTGCTGATTTTTAGTTAGTTGAATGGTTTTGGTGATGATTTTTAATTGGAATAATTTATTTCGTGCATTAGGAAAATTGTTAGCCGTGGTTGTGCACTCACAGTAATTATCGTTGTGTTACGTGTTGTCGTTTCATTGAAAGACATTATGAGAATGCATGATTTCTTGTTGTTGGTTGTGCTTGGTTGGTCCGGATTATTGTAGTTGGAAGTTGTTACGTGTTGTTGTTTCATTGCTAGACATTATGAGAATGTATGTTTTCTTGTTGATGGTTGGATTTGGTTGGTCCTGATTATTGTAGTTGGAAGTAGCTAAACCACGATGTTGTAAACGTGTCGGAGACGAAATGCATGTGTTGATAGCGCGTCATATAGTTTTATATTATTTTGTTGGAAGTTGTTGAATTGATGTATTGTTGGTACGAAGGAGAGTATGCTGGTAAAAATTTGAGTTGTGAATTGAAATGTGGAAGACTTACTTATAGGTTGTCCTTGGAAGGTTAGTGGGGATTGACACGAGCGACGGGTCCGGTTAGTGGTTGGTTGATCTGTGAGGTGTCTGAACTGAAGATGCTTGCTAGTCGTATGGTTATTCAAAGCTTGAGTGGATGCCTTGGGAATAAATGGCAAGGCCGAACAGCAGGTTTCAATGGAGGGGTATTGGGGTCTTGGGAATAAATGTCAAGAACCAATACGTCAGGTAGTCATCGGTACCTTGGGAATAAATGTCAAGGACTGGTGCACGGTTCTAGACCTTGGGAATAAATGGCAAGGTCGAACCTCAAGTTCTGGAGAAAAGTATTGGGGGCCTTGGGAATAAATGACAAGGGCCAGAACGACTCGAGGAGTTAGACTCGGAGGACTAACGTGAAGGGGGTGCTTAAGGGTAACAGTTCTAGACCTTGGGAATAAAAGGCAAGGTCGAGCACCAAGCGTTGTGGAGGAAGGTCGGTATCTTGGGAATAAATGTCAAGAGCCGTTACGTCTCGAAAAGCTAGACTTGGAGTACTAACATAGTGTGGGGGTCCCGGAAGTCTAGGCGTTGGGTTGCTTGTATGTTATTGTTAATCCATTATTATTATCTCGTGCTGCCTATCTGTTTGTTCTGCTATTGTCTTTGATGTGGTTGTGTTTACAAGCTTATTGTGGTGTCTAGTTAGGGTGGGCTACTTACGGAGTAATTATGTACTCACCCCCCTCTACCTTATTGTTTCAGGTGTGAACCGGCCCGGCCGTTATGATGACGTGGAAGAGGTTTGACTGAGGTGAGATCACTAGCTGTGCCGGTTAGGCTAGGGAATGGACCACTAGCTGTGTCGGTTAGGCTAGGGAATAATGTCGTGCAATGCAGACATCGTTAAGATTCCACTACTATGAAACAAAAAGGTAAAATTAGACATTGGGCTAACACCAAGGACACCTTCTCTTATTGCTTTATGGGTATTTGTTTTTGTTTTTCGAATTTCTGTCGTGTTGGGATTACGAGTCAAAATGACTATGTTCTTGATTGGAGACCTGACCACTGAGGCGGGGTTTATCTCCTAGTTATTCTATTATTGCGTATCTCCATTTTTTTTATGTTGCATTAGAGGAACGTTACTTTTCATCACTTTACACGGAGGGTTCAGTAAGCTTTATAGGACCGTTACTTCGTGAACCGTGCCATAAATCTGGGCCTTTACATATATACCCACTAGATATACTGTCCCGGTTACATGATAATAACCTTGGATGTTTAGTTAACTGGATTTTGGACAATGCAATGGTATGAATTCAACAACAAATTGATTGAATAAAATTTTCTTGAATATACATTTGTTTTTACATAAATACAGACTACGAGTTTAGGCAACACACCCAACAATAATGAGTACTTTTAGTGATGTACTACATAATTTAGCTATCTAATACCAATGCTGTTGTAAGCTCCAACACATAATTGAACCATCACAACACAAAAACAATCAAATTCCAATAGTTCACACACATAACACTCCCAACTTAATATCAATCTATCACAAATTCTAATATAAATCTTTAATAGAATTCAACAACCACAACACACATCAGTTCTCCTCTAATAAAATTTAGCAATATTCACAACATTTACACATAAATTTCATAAACTAGTCTCCTCTTTCATTAAGTCAGCATAATATGCTCCATTAAGAAGTTAATACACAAACAAAATGAGCATAATATCAACTAGCTCACTAATACAACCATAATTAATACAACCATAATTAATTGAAATGTATAAATGCTTCAAGGTTTTACATATTAAAAACAAAAATAATGAAAACTATATTTACTATGTTTGCCCAACTGCGTATAGTTTGCAATAAATCCATGATCTATTCATCTGGTACCTCATCAAGTTTTATTTGAGTATGCAGCTTTTTTGAATTGAATTACATGTAAAAAAAATTGATAGATAATGCAAGTATTTCAAATATAAAAGGAACACATAAAAGTAGAATTGTGTTTTGAGTTTGCATGAAAGATATACAAGATTAGTAATTTAAGTGTTTGGATTATGCATTATTTGTCGAATGTACTTCCTGACATAATATCCACACTCAACTGATCTTCGTTGACATGGACTTTCAAATAAAAGAAATAATAAATTTTTAAACTTATTAGAAAATAGTAACACAATTTTTAAAGAGAGGGAGCTAAAAAGACAGACTAAAAGGGAGAAGAGACGATAAGCAAAATTAAATTTTAACTTTTCGAGATTGTTATTGTATTTGAATTTCATAAAAACATAAACGAAGGTGTCTAAAGTTTCTAAGTCTGAATAATGACCAACTTTGAAAAGAAGAGATAAAAAAATGAAAATGGAGTAATAATGAGAGAGAGAAATTGACCTTGGTGGCTACATCTTGCTGCACATCTCTTAGTAGTAGTAGCATCGGAGTTCAAAATATGGGAGACAGAGAAAACAACCTTTGTAGTGGTACCAATGAAAGAGAATAAGAATATGTAGACATACCTTCATAATAAGTTATAGAAAATTCTCTAGCTCAACTGTCTATTTCTAATTTGGAAAATATGAAAGTGAGGTTACCTTCATCGTTTTCATCATAATATTGGATTCTGCCTGAAAAAGGAACAAACTCTATTCAAGAACAGATACTTGAACCACAAACTCTTTGTTCCGAGTACAGGGATAAACACCCGTACGATTCAAATCAATTATCACCTCCTGCCACTGAACTGTCTTCATTCTCACCTATAAACCATCCTGAGTAATTCCTTATTTCTTTTAAAGTAACTGGAAAAAAAAACAACATAAGTAAAAATACCACGAATCTCGAGAATATTTAAAAAAAATTATGGGTACCTACATTATTAATCAAAATATCAACCATTCCCTAAGCATCAACCACATGGACAAATGACAACCATGTAGTAAGTAAATGGTATAGACTAGTTCAGTTAAAAAAGAGAAGTATCTTCCTGCCTTATCATTGAATCCACCAAATCAACCTCTTCTGACACATCTCCACCAAAAGTAAGAGCTTGATTGCCAAACCACTCCATCTGCAAGTAAGAAAATAATTTAGTAAATAGGTTCATTAATTTGTTAGTTTCAAGTAGTTTTATGAGATGTGGAGTTTGTTAAATCTAGCTATGAGATAGATTTGCATCAGTTAAGTGTTATTTAAAGAACAGAAATAAAAATGATGGAAAAGAGGGGGGTGAGTGAGGTTGTCAATAGGTTAATTAGTTTTCCTCACTCCCTTTTTGAAAGGATCCTCAATGAAGTTTCAAATAGACCAATTATGTAGGTAATTTTCTAATATATAATTGAGGAAAATGAATCTAGCCAATGACAAATGACTAATGAAAAGTTAGAACAGAGAGAATTTTTTTTTCTTTCAATTAAAAAGGAGAGATAATAAATTAATCAGATTGAAAGGAAGAAAGATAAATGATCAAACAGTTGATAAATCAAAGTATGTTCATACAACATGCTTGCCACTTGCTACTCTTTTGGCCATCCGAAAACTCAAACTCTTATATCTAATAAAAATTAGGACCAAAGAGCTTACTTTTGAAAGGAAGAATAGCTTCCAATGATGAGTTTTAATAACTAATCCACTCAATCTAAGCGCAATGAGGTCCTACAAATTATTTAGATATGTATTAAAAGTCCATAAGCTTCCATGTTTCTGGAAGCCGAGATGAAGAAAAGTCCATTTTACTTTTGTTTGGGTTATCTTGGATTTTTTTTTCCCTTTACATACCAATTTTCTCTCAAATCATTCTAAAATTTTTCTACCAACTGTTTCCTTGAAAAATGTTTTATTAGCAACTAACACTAATAAAATAATTTAAAATATTGCTAGCACAATGTGTTGAGGTTAAATACATGGAAGAGTAATGAAGCAAATGGATCGTTACCCACTGGTCGCATAAAAAACTGACGGGTGTTGGATGGGTCGATGCCGTATGCAAACAAAAGAGAATTTCTAGGCTGGGTCATTGCTCCACGGCATCAGGTAACAAATTGAGCGTTTCCGGAGGGAACAGCCATAGGTTGCTGTAGAAATCACCAAAGGGGAATGGCGCTGCGGGTCTAGCTGTATTGGACTGCTGCAGGGAGTCGGTTTTCTAACGGCTCAGTGCCACCACCGGTGTCGCTTCACGTGGTGGTGTCAGGCTACTG